TAATGAAAAGAAAGGCAAGCAAGGTATATATGGTTAATGACATAGAATAATGACTTCAACTAGCTTACACAAAGAGCCAAATTAAACGTAAAAGCACAGGGAATAGCCATTACAAATTCATTTAGAGACATTGATGAAGACATTGAAAGTGATTCAGATGAACAAGAATCATCTCAAACAAATCTACTTGCTTTAGATCCCATCAGTTCCTTTTCAACTCAGGAGACACTGTCTAGCCAAAAGAGACAAAAGACAAGAGATGACGCTGCTTTATTACGAGAAATCAAATCGATGGATGATGACGATGACTATGAAGAACAAGAAGGACAAGATGAAATAATCGATACAGAGGATCTTGACGATCTGCTTCATTCACCTATTTACGAATTCATCGAACCTTCGACTAAAGGATTTGAACCTCATTTTACAAATATACCCAACCAGCAGCCCACAGTGCCGATGCCAAAACCACCTGAATTTTTGAGACGACGGGTGAAAAGAGAAGGAAAGAAGACGATTGAATTCAAAAAGGGCGGTATGGCGGAGAGAGCACTGGCTACCATTGTTCATGAAAAAGATGAATTTGATGAGTGGGAGAGAGGCGTGAATGCGATGATGGCAAAATATGGGTCCATTGTGGAAGTGTGTAGTCGATCACCAGAATCAACCTTGTTTCGTCTAATAGACCCTTGGCTAGAGCGTGGGCTTGTCTTTGCCTGGTGTGTGCCCGTGAAGAGAACGGAAATAGAAATGGTTCTTGGCGATCGAACACCGGTGGGTTCACAGACACGGGACGACAGCGAGGATGATATTATTGAAGATTTCTCACAGCCCAAGTCATTGCCATCCTATATACCTAGTGAAGAGGATGAGCGGCTATTGATGGCATTCTCATTTGCCTATGTGACCACAGCAGTGAGTAAAGAAGAGTTTGTAGAAAAGGAGACGTGTGTAGGAGTATGGCCACATTGGACAGAGATGGATACGATGATAGATGACGTTTACCAAAAGGTCTATCTAGTTACTCGATTCAAATCAGATATGATTTATTAAATAATCTTTTTTTTTTTTTTCTGGCTGCAAAGTCAATCTGATAAGAAATTCGTATGTATCATTTATTTATAAATAAAAGGGAATATTAAAACTTGTACACTTGATCTTCCATTTTTGACACAGCCCTTGGCCGTTGATAACCTAATTCTGTCGTTGCAGCAGTCAATAGTTTAATCATGGGCATTGGTCCACACAATAACAGTTTAATATCTCTTGCTGGAGGAGGACAGTAAGCCTTGATGATATCTTTTGTAACAAGACCCACTTCACCAGTCCAGCCAGGAGGTGGCTTTTCTAATACATAGTGAACCTTAAAATTATCAGGTGCTTTAGCTGATATTTCGTCTAATTCATCTTTCAAGAGGATATCATCCATGGTTACATTAGCAAAGATCAAGTCAATCTTGGTCTTATCTAATGGATCATTACAAATACGACGAATGATCTACACAAACATGAGTACACAGATATAATACATAATCTCAACAGTACCTGAAGCATTGGAGTGATACCTGTACCACCCGCAATCATGCCTATAGCTCTTACCATATTCCGAGTGTATGCGAAATTACCTTTAGGACCTCTGATGCCTACTGAGTCACCTACTTTGAGTTCGCCCATCAATTTGGAAATATTGCCTGTAGGATAGGACTGAAGAATAAACAAAAGGATAAATTGGATTGTTTACAATGAGCTTATGTCACATTTACTTTAATCACAAGATCAAAATATCCTCTTCCTTCTTCTGGTGTTGTGGGTGTATAGCTCCTAGATATCTGTTTTCCATTGATTTCAGCCATAATGGATATATGCTGGCCAATGGGTAATCCAAGAACATCATCTGGACGAGGTAATTGAAACCGATATCTACAAATAAAAAAGAATAAGTCTTGCTCATATCTTTATGCACTTTTTTACTACTTGGATGTGTTGTGTGAAATAGATGTTTTTTCAATTAATTTGAAGCTTTTAAATATTTTTGGATCTAGAATTGCATTTTCTAATAATTCTTGAGGTTATCAAAACATATCATTTACTTGTTATTCTCTTTTACTTTTTCTATTATTTAACAGTGAACAGGTTGCTGAAATAATAATGAATGTAAGAATATAAGGCAACAACTCTTGCACTGTAGACATGCAATAAAAATAAATAACAAAAGAAATAAAAAAATAAAGTCGGTTTATATAATCATGTCAAAAAATGGCCTGACATTTTATATTGGCTGTCACCCGTCAGACAATATTTTATTTTAATTCGTTACTAGGCAACAGCTTATACATTTACAGCAATTCACTTTACATTCATGATGCCAAGATGACCAACATTATGAAATGAAGTGACGGAGTAACATAAAAAGTGACTCTAACTTTCAATAATAATAAACTGTGTGTGACGCCCAGCAAAATAATTTGAAACCATCTACTTTGTTACTATTCTCTCTCTCTATCAAACAAGTTAGTAACTTATGAGATCATTATCAATTGAGGGGAAAATTCCTTCTTTTTTGGGTCTCATCAGCTGTTTGTTTTAAAAATGATAAACTGCTGATAATCTTGTAGACATGCTGCATAACATCAATAAAAATAAAAGTGAAGCACTTTTCTATTTTCTTTAAAAGGAAACTATTCTGCATAAAGTGATGATTTGTAGAGTGTGACTTGCTGTAGATCTTTACACTCAGAGAGACATGGTGTTAGCGAAGAAAGGGGCGAGCAAGCTATGGTTCTCCCTTTCTGCGTAAACCAAGATGGTAATGCATCCCTATCCTTTCTCTTCTTCTTCTTCTCTGTCTCTCTCAATGTATTATTTCAACTTTATATACAATATGGATATTTCATTAATGGATGGATGGATGGATGGATAAATGATTAAATGGATGGAAATAATGTTGCACACACACATCATGTACACATTGAGACATTGAAAATTATAAAAAGACAGACAGAGAGAAAGAGAGAGGGAAAGGGAAAAAGAGAAAGACGTGTAATTAAGCTGATTGCTGACATTTAGTCCACTCTATTTATAGTCCCTCGTCGTTCCCGAGAAGAACCACTTCCAACACATTCTTCGTCTTCTCAACACCAACGTTGACGGTCGTGTCAAGATTCAAATTGCCTTGACTTCCATCAAGGGTGTTGGTCGTCGTTTCGCCAACATTGCCTGTAAGAAGGCCGATGTTGATCTTACCAAGAGAGCTGGTGAACTTTCTAGTGAAGAATTGGAACGTATCGTCACTGTTCTCCAAAACCCCACTCAATACAAGATCCCCACTTGGTTCTTGAATAGACAAAAGGATATTGTTGACGGCAAGTCCACTCAAGTCATCTCTAACGTTCTTGACACCAAGTACCGTGAAGATCTTGAACGCTTAAAGAAGATTCGTGCTCACCGTGGTCTTCGTCACTTCTGGGGTGTTCGTGTTCGTGGTCAACACACCAAGACTACTGGTCGTCGTGGACGTACTGTCGGTGTCTCCAAGAAGAAATAATGAGGTGAATTAGTTGTAATAAAACAAAATATGACTCTATACACTATACAGAACTTATTTGCACACTGATAAAAAAAATATTTATTTCAAACGACAAAGAATAAATAGGACAACAAATAATGACAAAAGAGAGTCCATCAGAAACAAAAGAATAGGATATAAAAGAAATGATTAGTACATCAGTTATTAAGGATATTAAATACTTACATTATAAAGAAGAGAGTTTATAAGAGAAAAAAAGAGAAGCAAGAGAGCGGCCAAAAGAGCAGAAGGAGTTCGATGAGCGTGTGGGACCAAAGCTTGGTAAGAACCAAACTATCTTCATCTAGCACCGGTACTATTTTCGATTTTATGATCTATAATATTACGCGTCAGTTTTCTGTAAGAGTAAAGAATAAAACATACCTTAGGGCTAGCTGGGGAATAGCTGGTCTTACTTTTTGGTCCAAAGAAGAAAAGAAAAGAAAAGAAAAAGTTAAGTTTCTAACAACTTTTTCAGTTACGTGATATTTATGCGTTGGCCACATTTATCTTGTGTATCTCTCAAAAAGGCATAATTCATTGTCTTTCAAATATTAATTTTATTAGATTTACTTTTTTGTTGCTTTAATAATAAAAAGCCCTTTTTTTTTTCAATATTAAAAAAATACGAGGGAGGGAATAGATTATAAAGATGGTATACGGTTGAATACTTTGATCGATCCAGTTCTTTCACCCACAACATTACCATCCAACTTGCTTAGACCTTTCAAGAAATCACCCATCAATTCTTCATCCTCACCTTTTTCAATACTATGTATTGAACGTGTATCAATGCAGATGGAAGCAGGTCGCTTGGCTGGATCAACCGAGATTCGATCGGGAACATGGATTATTTCAGGTGGTTGCTGTCTTTTGATGACAGGAGATGCACTTAGTGACCGACCCAGTTTAGAAGTTTGGTATAAGGGAGTAGAATTGGATATGGAAGGAAATGTGGTAGAGATCATCGGTCTGGAAAGTCCAAGATGAGGTTTTGGGCTTGTGTTACTGTTGTTGCTATGGCTACTGCTGTAGGTTGTGCTAGATGAAGAAGGAGAATTGTATATTAGCCAATCATTAGGTATTTCCAAACTCTTTCGATGATGTTCATGACTGGTTGAACGATGTGGTAAAACGATGTGGGGGCGGAGAATATGTTGTCTGCTGTTTCTGTTGTTATTGCTCAAATCGATGTCAAAATCAGCACTCTGAGTCTTTCGGTGATGATAATATGATGATGATTGTAAGAGGGGTGCGCTCTTTGGCTTGTGGTGAAATGAAGTCGACCGTGTTCGTTGAGTGGCAGTAGCGATATCGTATAGGGAAAGTGGATCATCTTTTAGAAATTCACAAGCTGATTTAAGTGTAGCCAAGACGAAGCTACGTTTCAAGAAGGTTTGTTTCTCTCTTTTTATGCTTTGCACAAGTGATTTTACCTGTAGACAGAACCTTCAATCATTCTGGCAAGTCTATAGTGCTGCATGTAGTAGATCAGACTTGCCATCCGAGGCACATGACTCTGTACGATAACAAAAGCAAGTAAAGGAATCATTTCATCCGAAGTGACCGAAGTATCTAGAAAAACATCAGAATATGGGAATCAAATCAATATATCATAATCTTACCACTCGTACTGTGCCCAAAATGCGTCACATAATCATGAACCGCAGCTGAGATCAAGTCCAAGGTTGATTTCAAGACTGCAAGCTTTTCAAGTGGCGTGGCTGCCTGAGTATCGATCTTTTGAAACTCATGGATGGCATTTTGAAAGCAAGAGACGTGCATTTCTGATAACGGATAACGAAGCGAATATTGAGACAGGACAACGTGAGAATATGCAAAGCAGACGGAATCAAGATAGCTGTCTTGTGATTGCAGTAAAGGCTGTAGTGTCTGAACCCAAATTTTTTTATGCAAGAAGCTCATCACTACGCTGCATGATTCTGTGAGTATAAAGAAGAAAAAAAGGTTAAACCTTACTTTTCAACCAGTTCCAAGAACTGGTCATGCTCAGATGGAGTGCGACATGAATCTTGAAGTAGCTTGTTCTTTTGAAGGATAGTCTAGGATAATATTAGATCTAGTACATCCTAAAGTATACTTTACCCTGTATGTCTTCATATACATGTGTTGTATCCTTTCTACTGTATTCTTGTTGTAGCCTTTGATGTAAACATAAGAGTCAATAAACTCTTGTACGGCAGATTGCAACTCATAGAGTGCTTCCATGTTCTCTGGAAACATATTCAAGAATTCGAGATCCCTATATGGATACATAAAGATACATGTGTTTTAGATTAGTATGTAAACAAATCGTGTGTACTCGTGCCTTACGTTTTTGCGTTTCGGACAGGAGGAATAGTAATGGCTGATTTATGATAGTATTTCTAAAGAGAGTCAAGAGTAAGATGAATGTAAAGAGTGGCATCTTTACTTACGGGTGCTTCACCTTCTAGTAATCGATCAATACAAAACACTCTGATCTTTTTATTCTTCAAATAGACAGTCTCTTCAGCCATGACGTGCACTGTCCTCTGTTCTTTGAATCCTATATATTGCAAATAAACAACTACATATATGTAAGTTTATGGAATAATTACCTAAAATGGTGGTAATCACTGGGAAATCAAGTGCAATGATCTTTTGTTTTTGTTTGGTCGCAATAAATTGTCCACAAAAGTAAGGAGAAGGTTGGAAGCAGTGAGCCTCTATTGAATGTGTCAGAGAATACCTTCTTTATCAATGGATGCTATACCTATGATATCCTTAGTTAATACTAAACCGCGTATTGATTTTGAATGAGGCACACAAATGATCGATGATTCACAGAATAAAGAATGGAAATGAGTTGTGATATGCTTATAAAAGAAGTTCTCATCCATTTCCTCTGGCTCTAGTATATTATCTTGTTCCTTTTTATATAATAATTCCAGTGTAGAATCTAAGGATTCCTTCTTCTTCTTGACACTTGTCTTGTATAAGAAAGGTAAAGCCATGGTTGATAATAAATAAAAAAAAGTAAAGAAAAAAAAAAAAAAAAAGAAAAAGAAGAAAGGGAGAGAAGTGTGTGGGATATTTAAGGTAGTCACACGAACATTTGGAGACATAAACAACTCTTTTGCCTGTTTCCGTCTTTCTTTCCTTTTTTTTTTTCCTTTTTATATTTATTTTCCAAGAAATGCTTAAAAAGAACTCGAATAACAAGACGATACACATTCAATTATTAGAAGAAAAGTTTTATTTTCCTGGAGAGACGATCAAAGGTAATGAACAAGTGAATAAATAAAGAAAAAAGAAAGAGATTCATTGAATTGACACATGAAGGAAATGTTGTTGTTCACCCAAATAGTCCAACCAAAGTGAATTGGATTCAACTAAAATTTAACGGAAAAGTATGTTTACACTTGAAAGAAAAAGAGATTATACCCTTATTTGAGGATATCAAGTCAATTCATACAAGCAAACAAAAAATAACCACACTCGATGCATCTGAGCATACATTTCCATTCGAGTTCCAAATACCAAATAATTTGAATCTACCAAGTTCAATGCAAGTAAAGTTGTCATCAATTGATGCTTAATGATACAAAAAATTGATGTAATTTAAATAGTTTGGTAAAAAGTGCTATATTCGGTATACGATCTCTGCTCTGTTACATAGACCCATGATACCAGAGTCACTTTGCCCCAAGACAGAGTATCACATTAGCATTTTGGAGCATATCGACATTCAACAATCACAATTCACCGTCCCTTATGAAAAGATTCAACACGTCATCATTGCCAAGGATAAAAGATCGATCGTGAAGGCATTTATCCCTCGTATTGGTTTCACAAGAGGTAAATCCTTTTAGTACAAATACGAACTAGTTTGTTTATACTTTATAGGTGACATTATTCCACTTCAAGTTAATATTCATCATTTTACATCATTTCAACGTAAAAAGTGCATTAAAGTAGAATTGATAAGGACACTAGAAATTAGGACGATAAGGTAAAACTTGGACATTGTATATATCTTCCCTATAGCTCACACATTGTTATAGACACTCTGTCACAAAGGAAACAGTACTTAAATCAACAGACTATGATATCAATATTGATTTCGCATTACAACAACTATTGAACTGCCAAGTACTCGTACCAACATCAACACCACCTTCCATACGATACAAGGATAAATTACTAAGATTTCATTACAAGATAAAATTATCCATCTCATACACTGATAAAGTCAACTGCTCAATTGATTTACCCATTGTCATTGGTACTTGGCCACGCGCCTCAATACCTATCGATGATGAAGAAGAAGAAGAAAATGATGATCTTAGTAGTCTTGATATTGAATCACTAAGGACAACTGAAGGCATAAGAAATTCTGTTATCAGTGACGTTGAAAGATCAAATTCAGTTAAATCCTATAATTCAATCTCTTCATGGAACTCGTGGGAAAACAGGACAGCCATCACAACCTTGTCTTCTCCTGCTTCTCTTTCACAGCACTCTCTTATTTCTAATAACAACAGCATCAACTATAGCACGTATCATCATAACATCCATAATGACAATAACAACAACATCATCAACAACAGCTACAGTATGTATAATAATAGTATTAATAATAGATATTCAATGCCAAGGTTTGTAGAAGAAGTACCGACACATGTATTAACGCCCATCATCACGCCTCCGCCCTCATTATCTCATTCTCAGCAATCTGAACAGCCATATGGTTCGTCGTCATCCACTGATGACTCCGATGAAGAGGATGATCTATTATCCATCATTAAAAAGAAAAAGAAAAAGGAACAGAAAGAATTGAGAAAGAAGATGAGTCAATTACAAGTAAACTAGGCATGTTCATGTAATATAATCTGCAAGTAGTAATCATAGTAATAATAGTCATAATCATAATAACAGTAATAATAAATTATAATGTATTATAACTTGGAGTTCTCTTTGCTGCTATTTACTTGTTCACAAAGATCTTTGATATCTAACAACACCTTATAAAGTGTCTTTATAAACTCTTCTGTGCTTACTGTCTCAGGTACACGTTTAGACTCGATACCAAACTTGACAAGAGTAGGTGCCGCCATATAGTTGATACCATATCCATCTCGATAAACAGCACCAAAGCCAGTGCCCATTAAACGAATACCTGCGTGAAGACCACTGGTACTCAGACGCCAGGTCTGGGATTCAGCAAAGATAGGATCTTTAAAGATAGGATGCATCTCTGCTTGGACCAATTCTCCCTTTTGATTACGCACTTGATGGTCTGCATTTAACAGTCGAAGGGCAAGCAAATGTCGATCACAACCATGACCGTCACTGGCAATCTGCGTATAAGTGCGATGACTTGATGTTGCCTTGACGAGCAGCTTATACTTTTCTTGTACGCTTAGTTTTGTATTTTCGAATCCTTCCACAAAAGTTTTACTGTCCACACTGCAGGTACGGATCGTCTCGGTACGTCCTCTGAGGTATTTGCGTGTTGCCGCTGTTTCGTATGTAGCCGTCACTTTGCCGTGCAAGCGATAATAGGCTAATTGAAGAACCATCTGATAGAATGCATCAGGAGGCACACGTCCAACCTTCTTGACCCAATTTGTGCCATACTCCTTAAATACAAGCACACTCGAGTCACTAAGGGCTGCTGTTGCATCTGCACCCGTCTGTGCCTCACGCAGGTACTTGCTAATGAGATGGTCTGTGGCAAAATCAAGATGTTCGAATACAATATCTGTTGTTGTTGGCTTTTGTAGCTTGTCCACCCAATCTGCCGTGACACGGCCTGTACAAGGTTCCTTGAGCATGTGATCGAAAATCCAACTGACAATAAGAGCGTCCACGGGGGAATGCTCACCCATAAATCCGCATTTACCGTTGCTCTCGACAACAAGATTTATCGATTTGTCGTACCAGCGGTTATGTCCGTTACCCAATCCTTGGTGTCCACAAAAGAGTGTCTTTGTCCATGAAGGATTGTCGGATCCATTGGCATGGTCGTCGAGAGACACGGTGAAAAGACTGGTCTCGATCTTAGTCAGCCTTTCGCGATTGCCTGCAAGTGTCAACAGATGATTACGCGCTACCGTCCAGTTGTCACGGTGCCAAGAGGTAAGTAAGGGAACAGCAGCTGCAGGCTTAGGATTGCTTTCGACATGAGATATTAATGCGAGGAGGGCACTAGGTTTATCTGTGTAAGCCAATATGGTTTCTAAACAAAAGAGACTTACCATTCAATTTCATCTGTTGTTAACAAAACCCAAGTATCCTTCTGGATCTCCTTGTAAACATTCAAGACATATACTTGGTCGCGTAAAATAACAGTGATATGTCTAACATGCTTAGGGTCGGCTTGGACGAGCGTGTCGCAGTGATAGAGAGGCACACGAGTCACAGAAAAGATACGGCTGTACTGCCACATACACAAAGGTTGCTTTCCTTTACCTACCACTTCAGCAGGAATTTTCTCTTGATCAATCATTTCCTTATACTCTAAACCGCGTCGAATCATATGAGCTGCTCTTCTCACTTGGAATTGAGAAAATCGTCCCAGAGGTTGAACACCATTATTAGCTAACAATTCAGGAGGATGATGAGCATCATCTTGACCCAAGATATACCAATTACTATTGACCATTAAGGGTTCTCTCCATTCCAAATAGGCTACACACAGATAGATGAGTAATGATATCTATGTATATATGCTTTTACCTTTTCTTAACCAAAAGTTATCTTCCAGCCAATTATTAGGAGAAGCTCGATCAAGATCAATGAGTCGTTGTTGAAGTGATTTTGACAATTCACTCTTGAGGAAATCTTGTACGATCTGTCTTGTCTTTTCATGTTCTTCCTTTGTTTGTAAGGGAACGATTGTTTTCAAATAGAGAGCACATGTTTCTTCTAATGAAGGAACTGGTAAACGAGGAAGGGTATTCTGTAGACTAAAGGTTGGATGAAAATCAGTGCTCATAGTGTAGTAAAGAAAAGAGAGAGACAAAAGTCGGCAAGGGAACCTAAAAAGGGGTTGAAATGACTTTGTGTGTGTAAAAAAAAATGTCAAGGAATCACATGAATTTCGCATAATGCCATTTCCAAATTTAAAACTCCATTATTTACATGAATGTGGGGTAAAAGAGAATGGATTGATTGATCATCTTTTTCTTTATCAGATAACTTGTAACAATAGAACGTTCAGTCTATTCTCTTAAAATAAATACGCTTTCTCAGTTAAACCACTTACTTTAGATCATGTTTGCAGATAGGTCCCCCTTCTTTAATGCAGTCATATGTAAACTGCCTTTCATATGTTTATTAAATATTATGTATTGAATGCAGATTGGTTGACTTGCGCAGTTTCCTTCAAATGCTTAATTACAGCATTTGCTATACTTGATGCTAATTTTTCTGTAGCAGGCTTTTTAACTTGAGGGCAACCTTGTTTCAAATCCTATTTGATCTTGTGCTAATTTATGCCTGATTTACTTGCAAAGATGCAGGTAAAGGTCATAAAATAGTTGCTAAAAGACTATAAAAAGGTGCCTCAACTCATTCTTCCTAAACCTTATAGTAACCGTCTATATATCAAGTGGATGAATATTCATTGCATTCGATCATGAATAATTGCTATATGAAAAAAGTCTGAATATATGATATCAGAGAGACATAACAGTATACCAAAAGGGTAAACTGTAAATTCATTGGAAATAATCGATATTTGGGGTGTTCCTATTGGATGCAAATTATATTTCAATCTCTTCTTCTTTATTATAATGACTACAATAGCAATGACAACATTTAAAGATAGAACAAACGAATTTCATTCTTTATGTGAAAGAAAAAGATTAAGAAACACAACAACAACAAATGCCTTAGAAAGAAAGGCTCTACTGTCTTCTCCTGAACCAAAACAGCCAAAGAAAACTCAACCTCGCTCTGAATTTTCAATGATGGCAGCTGAAATCAGTAAACAGATTACCAATACAGCAGGAAAACTAGAGAAATTAACAAAATGTAATAAAAAGAATGACAATAAAGAAAGAAAAGAACTAACATGTCTAAAATAACAGTGGCTAAAAGAAAGACATTATTTGATGACAAGCCCGTTGAAATCAATGTAAATAATATTATTCACTTGTGAACTCTTTATTGAATATTCTTTTAATGTAGGAATTAACGTTTATTATCAAACAAGATATTGCGAAATTAAACAAGCAAATCGCTATGCTTCAAGATTACACCAAACACCAAAAACAGTCTTCAAAACAAGCGGCTGAGCATAGTTCAAACGTGGTTGTCGCTTTACAAAGTAAATTGGCAAATACTTCCATGAGTTTTAAAGACGTTTTAGAGATAAGAACAGAGGTAAAGGATATACAAAATGAAAGAAAATAAGCTTATTTTGTACAATAGAATATGAAGATGTCCAAAGATAAAAGGGATCAATTCTTATTTTCAACAGCGGAACAAGTATCTGAACATACATCTTCTACTTTTGGTAATGTTTGAAAAAAAAAAAAATAACCTAAGCTGACCATGCCTGTTTTGTAGCCAATTCACCACTACTAAAATCGCGTAAACGAGGTACGCCACCTCCAGTTGTAGAAGAACAAGAGGAGTCAACTTTATCACTTGGAATACCTATGATCAGTCAACAACAACAGCAGGAACAACTTCGAGTGCTTGAACAGGATAGATATATTGATCATAGATCATCGGCAATTGAGAGTATTGAGAGTACTATAGCAGAACTGGGAAGTATATTTCAGCAGCTGGCCACGATGGTAGCAGAACAGAGAGAAACAGTACAGAGGTAAGAATAAAAGAGTTGACATACGTTGATATTTATTTTCTATATGAAAATAGAATTGATCAGAATACAGATGATATCGAAATGAATGTGATGGGAGCACAAAGAGAACTATTAAAATACTATACAAGCATCAGTTCAAACAGATGGCTGCTTATAAAGATATTCGTTACAATCATATTGTTCTTTTTATTATTTACTTTTATTATGTAATATAGAAAATAAACAAAATAGTCATCCAAGCATGGCTACGTATATCCTTAAATAATGAAAGCAGAGCATTATACGTGCAATCAGTAGCTGAAAGAAGTAAACGATGGGCACAGTCACTACATCATCCATACCACACACGAAACAATAAGAGCATCGTCTTATGGGGCTATCGTAGTGCACAATCATTACGATCGTTTCGTCAAGGCGCGTTACACCAATTCGAACAGTTATTAGACTTGGAGGGATTATACAATCTTTACGGACAAGTGGAGCAATATATTTCTATGCATTTTTTTTTTTCAGAAATTATTCACACACATTACAAGATCAATAGCAATTAACACTTTAATTGATTATCAATCCTTTCTTTATATTTAAAAGACAATGAATTCTGTCTTTCTGAGAGATGCATAAAATAAATGTGGTCAACGCTTTATAACAAAATGAAGTGTTGTTAGAGACTTCGTTTAAATAGTCTGACCTTGACTTCTTTTTCTTTTCTTCTTTGGACCAAAGTACACGATTTCCAGAAAGAGATGTCGCGCTGACTTGTCGCTTTTTGGTATAAATTGTATTATAAAAACTGCAAAAATACGACTTTACTTTCTGAAAGACTATAATACTAGCCATTCCCCAGCTAGCCCTAAGGTATGCTCTATTCTTTACTCTTACAAAAACCTGACGCGTAGTATTATAGATCATAAAATCGAAGATAGTACCGGTGCTAGATGAAGGTAGTTTGGTTCTTACTAAGCCTTGGTCCCACCCGCTCTCTTTTTTGCTCTCTTCTCTTTTCTCTGGCTTGCTTCTTCTTTCTCATCTTTCTCCGGGCTGGTTGTCACAAGCCCTATTTAATGCACTTCGGGTAAGATATTAACAAACTCTTTTACAAGTTTACTCACTCTTCTTTCCTCTCTTTTTTTCTCTTATAAATCCTCTTCTTTATAATGTAAGTAATTAATATCAATGTTAATAACTGACTTACTAAGCAGTTCTATTTATATTCCATTCTTTTGTTTCTGATGGGCTCACTTTTATTAATATTTGTTGTCGGAAATTATCATTTTTCTATCAGTGTGCGAATAACTTGTGAGTAAAGTGTGCAGGAACATGTTACCCAGATAAGAGGTTGGATCATCGTGAAGTTCAACCACTGGTCGATTTCAGAAGGCTACATGGGAGGCTTCAACAAATTCTAGAGTATCGTGTTAGAAAAATTAACGTACGTTTCAAAATACAACCTACATATGTATCAGAGAACGTGATTCATTTCAAGCAAACAGAGCAAATGATCTGCTCCAGGAAGAAAAAGTTACAATTTGACGCGTTTGTGATCCACACAAGGGTTTTCATGGCCAATTGTCAATTCAAGGTTTTGCTATTTGCACAGCAAACAGCACTAGACAAACTATGCCCACACAGCACTATGTACAACACTGAAGTATAAGAAAAATATATGCCGATGAATTTGTAATAATCTCTTTATTTTGCTGAGAGCTCATCAATAAAATAGTGTCATTTTATAAGAAAATTATTACAGCATGAATTTATCACGAGCCAATGGGAATTGAGTATGGCGCGTCTATAAGGATAATGAATTTTGTAGTGCAGCTAACAAAAACCCAACTTCAACCTTCAAGTATACCAATCCTTGTGGTTCCTGTCTTCTTAACCTGCTTCCGAACTACAGCCTCCAGATGCGAATCATAACAGTCAACTTACAAGGCTTAAGCAAAATGATCAGGGACATCCAAATTATGCAAGCAGCAGGGCCCGACAATAGCATGGGCGATTTATGCTGGAGATTCTTCAACATGGAGAGAATTGACTTCCAAGACCTCAATCAGCTTGAAGAGAATAATGACAGGAAAGGTTTTACTGGTGCCCTTTACTTTGTTGGTGTTGTCCTAGAGCTTATATGTGGTTGACCTGCTGATGCTGCTGTAGAGCTTTTGACTCCCACCAATGTTACTAGAGAAGTTGATCTGAACATAGCAATTGTATGAGGTGCTGATCATGGTGTGCATGAGGTCTTTGTGGCTTCTGAGGGTAAACAGAGGCAAAGACATAGAATCCGCAAGACTTCTACCTTCCAGTGAGAGTTTTACAGTGGACTCTCAATTACGGAATACAGCAATACGGAATATTCGCAATATCGGAATCCCATTTTCGAAGGACTCCACGGCCACCGCTTTAAACTTCCTGCGATATTCACTTGAATTGCCAGTGTATAGGCTTTATTACAGAATGTTATTCGTGCTCTCGATAGGCATTCCGTAATCGAGAGCCCGGAGATTAAACGTTGTCAGCATGATTTAACGTTTTCAATGTGATTATTTATCAATGCTATACTAGTAGCCACTATGGTTATTAGCACATTAAACATTATTCTTATCAGATGCGATAGGGAAATGCAAAGTAGAATGTATGCTCTACTGTAAGATTATACTCGAGTTATTATAATGATTTATATCGAACACGTTAATGACCGAATCCACCAAGCTGCACTTTCGAAACTACAGAAAGAAGCAAAAGGCACTCAATGAAATGTTCAAACATTTATTCTCTGGTAGCCACAAGTACGGATCAGGAGATTCCTTTGAAATCCATCAACGTAATTCTGAGAAGTATAAGCCACTGTTGCCGAGTAACAGCCAAGATGAAAGGACAAGACCAGTGGTGTTGGCATTTGGTGCTGTTCGTTTCGGGGTCCTTCGTGGTAATGTGTCCGCTCCCAGAAAGCTGTTTAGGACCGCTTTCCTTCATGACTTCAAGCAACCAAAGTCAACGCTCCAAAGACACGATTTACATGACCCGAAGTATGTGATGATGATAGATGAATATCTAACAAGTCAAATTTGTCCTCGCTGCCAAATTCGAACAACTACCAACCAGCCAGATGCCTATGAACTCAAAATCCAATCAGCACTCAACTGCCAAACATGTAATACTCGATGGAATTGCGATCATATGGCAAGCGTCATCATCCGCAGCATCTTTCTTCATATGACAGGTAACAGGCCCTGAAATATTTCGGCCAAGGTAAACATTTATTTCACTTTTCCATCATTTTATTTTTATTGTTACCGGCTATTTTTGTCTTGTATATAGACAAGGTATGCCACCATAAAGAAGATCTATGTTCTCTATAATAAGAGATACATCCCCAATGCCTACTATGTACTCATGTTCTATTTTTGACTCAATGTTCAAATAAAGCGCACTTCAATCTAAGTCAATTCAAGAGTCACGTTTTAATCTCTGCTAAATGCGCAATCAACCTGGGCTTGAATTAGTAAGCTTTCTTATGACCAATCAAACGATGTATTAATAATAACCCATCAATAAAATAAATACCACAAAACTTTTTTTTAATTCTTTTTTTTTACACAAAAATAAAATACAAAAAATGGTCGAGCTTAAAGAACCTGCTAACCTTAATGAATTCAAGGAATTACTCAGCAAAAACAGCAAAGTCATTGTTGACTTCACTGCCTCTTGGTGTGGTCCTTGTAGATTGGTTAAGCCTGTCATCCACAAGCTTGCTGAACAATACACAGAAATCCTCTTCCTTGTTGTTGATGTCGATGAACGCGCCGTAAGTATTAAGTAGAACAAAAAGCTCGATGATTATTAACGTATCACTTTAGGATATTGCTTCTGAATATGGTATTCGTGCCATGCCTACAGTCATGTTCTTCAAGGATGGTAACAAGGCTGATGAAATGGTCGGCGCCGCCCCTATTACTAGCTATGAAAAGAAGATCGCCGAAGTTTTGTAAAAATAACTTGTATAATACTAAAATAAAAGAATAAGCGCGTTATCTTTTAAAAATAACAACATCTGAAGTCTACATGTTCTATTTACTCTGTCCATGTTGGAAGCACTATCAAAAATAAAGCCTGGTACAATCTATTAGACATGTACGGGTGGCACTTTTTTGATCATGTGGCACTTCTATAAACCAATTATGAATCTAGTAAAAATATTACTTGATTGAACCATATGCTTTCAGCCAACTACAGCAAATGTGTCTAACTTTAATGCCCTCTATTAGCCTGTTTACGCGCAAAATAGGCATTACTCACGCCATTTCCTACTAAGCCCTCATCTTATTTCTTTAAATACATATTATCAATCATTCTCTATTGATGTCTTTGACACTTGGGTTCACTTTTCAACTTGTTGGCAATAAGTAGATAGTTAAGCTAGGTTCAAGCTTTATATGTATGGACATCTTGTGCTTCTTCTATGCATAAACTGGCCGCGTTTCTTCAATTCTTTTGTTGCACATTGTCATATTTCGCATCGAATGTACAGAGTGACGGTCGTTTGGAAACCATAGACTGTTTCAAGGCCATAAGCTTGAGCATCTAGTCGATGTTTATTATATCATTCAATCCAAGCTATCAGCCATGATTGTATGTCTTTTTTGTTCTTTTTCTTGTCGATTGACTCAAAAAGCATACATCGTAAATGGCTAAATTTTTTATAATTCTTTTTTGAAAGATTGCATCCATACGGCTAGTGGCTACTGATGGTTGAACCTTGCTTTTATCGCTGCCTTGAGGCGACACGTCCTCAGGAGAATTCTCCACGAATACTGCGTTGATGACAGTGGGATGAATGACAATGCTTGTTTGGCTTTGCCTTCTTGTGCTATATCTGATTAAACACATCCACTGCTTGGGCTTCTGGATCTGAGGATAGGTTCTAATAAGCCCAGCTTCCTGAGTTGGAAACCGAACGTTATTGGAATGAAGAGTTCCCGTACAGACAAAAACATTCATCTTTGCTAGCTCTAAATTTATATTTCTAACTCTCCCTTACAAGCGACTTTCATTTATCTTTAATGGTCGCTCTATTTATTTGTGAGGCAAAGGAGCCTTCATAATGCTTTAATATCTTAAATAGTAGACTTGGTTAAATCAACAAGATCTGTAATCTATCTAATTATGTGGCGCGCCTTACTTTCTTTTGTCTCGTATTCAAACACAACTAAAGGTTGTGTGCAATGAACAGATGTTTGAGTCACTTTATCTTAATGAGTTCACGTTTGAGTTATCAGCATATAATTTTCCTTTTTGAATGCTCTTCCCAGAAATTAAATCTGGCGAAACTGCATAAAGAAAAATAAAAGCGCAACCAGAAAAATCTGTACCATGTTAGATCCAACAAGTATAAATTGGGCAAGTCAAACAATTATCTGATTTTTCTTTGCACAAAAATAAAATGCGAAATATGGGCAATCTTAGAGAATCTGCTAGCTTGGATCAATTCGAAGGATTAATCGTAGACAAGAACAAAGTAGTCGTTTACTTCACTAACCCTTTAGATCAAGCTTGTAAACTACAAGATCCTGCCATAGACAAGGTTGCTGAACAATTCATAGACACCCTATTCGTTAAAGTTGATGTCAATGAACACGCTGTAAGCATAAGTGAAATAAAAGATTTGGTGATTGTTGAAACGTCACCTTAGGACATTGCCACTGAATTTAATGTACTTATGAAACCCTCATTCATATACCTCAAAGTGTGCAGGTTGATGAAACTGTCGGTCCCCGTAATTTTCCTTCTTCTGAAAACAAGATTAAATGGATTTTCGGTTAAATAACTTGTATAATGTTAAAATAAAAGAATAAGCGCGTTATCGTTTGAATAATAACATCTAGCGTGTACATCTCCTATCAATCTTTGAAGAGAAATAGATCGCTTAAGGTAGCTTAATATTCTAGACAGTCTTTGTACATGACACGCCATCTTGATTTAATATGGCTTCTATTACTTGAGTTTTGGTTAACGCGAAAAGCATCTATTATTATAGATATGAACATGTTACAAAATGGAGAAAGGGTCTAAATAATAATTCTAATTTATAAGAAGCAAGAGAGTAAAGCAATCGCAAGTATTATACTGACTCTATAAATCATCTTTAGACAAGTTATTGATGTAGAGAAAAGAAAAAAATTGCTCAAAGAATGTGAATGATTTAAAGAAAGCTTGCTTGCATTCTTGTTTGATTAGACAACTTTAAAAAAATTCCCCAAATCCAAAGCTGTGTGTATGTGAATTAAATAGTCATTCGCTATTAATTGTTGCCATAAACCATGTATATTCGTTTGCTGATGTCTAATTAAAAGTGAAAGGGGACAGTGTTGCATTAATTCATACACTAAAGTAGTCTTTTTTTTTTGAATAATTTCCTCCGCGTTATGCTCAATGCGCTTATAGCACACACAGTACATAATTAGATGCCTATTACTGACAGCTTTAGGATAATTGCAAACAGATATTGATGGTATGGGATATGCTCTCTGACAGTTCTTAGAAGTGAAATATACTAAGGCACTTGTCTGTGGAAGCTTTTCTCTAGAATGTTCTGCATCATTGATATATTTACTGTAGTCTGTTCATTCAAGCGTGCTTAATAAAAAAGGATCGCCTGTAAATGGCCTCAAGCTTACAGCTCGATGGGTTGATTCAGGGCCTTCAAGCTTATTAAAGCTAAAATCCTTGTGTGTGCTATCACAATAACCAATTTATACCCTCAGATTACTTCTTCTTTCTTGTTGCAGGGATAAAGACGCCAAAGCTTTATATCACAGTGTTTTTGCATAAATGGTTTAAACATAACTTCTTGTTTAATGGTTCAATTGGGCACATTAGTATTTAACAATCAAATAATGTTTCGCTTAGACCAGATCGATTAAAGAAGGAAAGAGATAGAAGCTAAAAAAATCTTTGTGATCAAAAGTTTAGCACGCGGGCAGGAAAGTATACAAAGTGGCCCAAAGTAAGCTATAGAAAACGCGGCACTATTTTCTCAGGGCCAGCTTCCCAAAATTGGTATTAACTTAAAGAAGAAAAGAAAGCAAGTGATATGTACATGTTTTTTATTTTTAACGCCTTTCATCTCTCCAGGATCACGATAATCAATTCTGAATACTGTCAACTAATATTGTGATCCAAGCAGATTGTGTAAATGATGACTAACATATGCACTTTTGGCTGTAAATGGTACTATTCAAGCTGCTTAGATGAAAAGGGAGAGTGCTGTGTAGTCTTTAAGTTGGAGACTTCTGTTAACAGGAAGGCTAAATATATTATCCTTCGCTTACTTTGTTGTCTGAAACAATTGGCTGAATCTCTTTTTATGAACGGACTGATGAATGTTTCCTTTTTTGTATATTGTCTTACGTTATAAGAAATACATTTAGCTCTACTTTTTTGTTGCATTGTGGATTCATAGTCTAATGAACCTTCTTCAATTAATAATCCACGCGGAGTTTATGTTTTTAAAATAAATAAAAGATCGCGTTTTGCATTGTTTACACTGTTTGTATTGATAAATTATTCTTCATCATGGTCTCAAACACTAAAATCATTTTCGCTCAAGTTCCAACCGGTTATCCCGAGCCTGGTGTACACATGAAGGTTGAGAAATCAGAGATCGACCTTAATGCTGATATTCCTCAAGGAAGCGTCCTCCTCAAGGTTTTGTGTTTATCTGTAGATCCATACATGCGTGGACGTATGCGTGAAGCACACAAAAAGTCTTATTCTCCTGCCTTCCCTTTGGGTCAACCTATGAATGGACATGCCATGTCTCAAGTTGTCAAGTCAAACAATGAAAAATTCAAAGTGGGTGATCTCATCTATGGTATGACTCCCTTTGTAGAATACGCCTTGATCCCAGAACAGTTTACCTCTTATCTGGAAATCAGAAATGAGGCTAAAGACTCTGACATTCCTCTTACAAACTTCATTGGTGTTCTTGGCATGCCCGGTATGACCGCTTATGTTGGGTAAGTATCCATGCTGCGTCAAAATGATGTAATTAACGTATAATAGCCTCATCAAGTTTGGTAAGCCAAAGAAAGGTGAAACTCTCTACGTTTCTGCAGCCTCAGGTGCTGTTGGCCAATTAGTTGGACAAATCGGCAAGATTCTTGGCTTATATGTCGTAGGCTCCGCTGGTTCCGACGAGAAGGTTGCTTATTTGAAAGAACTTGGCTTTGATGCTGCATTCAACTACAAAACAAAGGATATCCGTGAAGCATTGAAGGAAACATGCCCTAATGGTATCGATATCTATTTTGAAAACGTCGGTGGCAAGATGCTTGAAGCCGTCATTGATCACGCCAATACATTTGCCAGAATCGTCTGTTGTGGTATGATCTCCCAGTACAACCGCGAAAATCCCGAGCCTATTCACAATCTCATCCAAGTCGTCGCCAAGAGTTTGGAAATCGTTGGTTTCATTGTAAGTAACTCTCCTGAGATGGAAGGTCAGTTCAGAAAGGATGTCACTGAATGGATCAAGAGCGGTCAAATCAAATACCGTGAAACTATTGCTGAAGGCATTGAAAAGACCCCTGAAGCTCTAGTTGATGTATTAAAGGGAAATAACTTTGGTAAGCAAGTCGTCAAGGTTGCTGATTTATAAATAAAGATACTCAAATAACATTATTGTAAAATAAAATGATACTTTTTGTAATTTAACTTGACTGGTTTATTGCCTACTAACTTTAGACAAAATTCACTTGGTTGATTTACACTGTCATTCTTACTCCACTTTTATCATTCCTTTCTCTTTTTCTTTTTCCCCTTTGACTCAAAAGCGTTTCAGTCTCCTTTACTTTTATTGATGTAACCAGGCGTGAGGTGATGATTTTTCTTACTGTCAAGCATTCATCTGCTGTTCGTCAATATATGACTTCTTTTTTTTTTTTTTTTAGAAACTCTAAGCAACTAACAGCGTTGGTACATTAAGAGATATTCTATCGGATTTGAATGGGTTGATTATAAGCAGGTTTATACTTGTAGAATCCCAACGTAATATTTATACAATCTCATATCACGGCATCAGGATACAAAATACAAACAAGATATGTGAACAAATCTGTAAAGATTTTATTTTGCTTATAAGAAAAGAGAAAGGATAGGGCTAATCATAGCCAAATTATTTGTTCTTGTAGATGATTTCAAACTTGTCCCAGTTAGGATCCTGGTGAGCTCCTTTCTTGACTACAATGTAAGCACGATCATTCTGATAGTGGGGCCACCATTCTGCATCTTGTCCCTTGACCTTGTTATAAATTCTCTTGGTGTTCGTATCGTATGCCCATTGGAACTCAGGGCTGCGTTCATTTGGCTTTTGCATCAAGACAGGGACACCGGGTAATCCAGGGTCAGAGTTATCATAACCAATGAGGTGACCAGTGAAGACATTCACGAGCTGGTTATTATCATCAAAATACCAGACTTGCTTGCCATCGTAGTCATTGGCCTTCTTTGGTTCCACAGTAAGATGAGAGTTGATCTGGCTACTGTTACTAGTAACGCCAACGTATTTCTTGCCGTCGTCACCGATTTGTCTGATGTAGAAGAGTCTGTTGTGTTCCATGGTTTACCTAATCGATACAAGTCAATAGATGCTTTTGTTAGGCTGACTTAAAATATTACTTTTACTTTGATGAGTGGAGAAGAAAAAGAACGGACCAAAAGGTGGTCTATTTATATGATTTTTTTTAGTAAGGCTGAAGAGCTTGGTGCTTTGATATTCCTAAGAGCCCTCGGCGCTGTCATGAAAATGGTAATACTCTTTAACTTTGTTAGTTCTAGTACTTGGCTCACTATTTACAAGCATAACAAGCATGAACGGAATTGTGCATTGTCTATATTGATGGCCGCACAGTCATTTCTCCTGAGAAAATTTCCAATCTTGTATCTAGATTTTTACAATTATGGCAAGACAAATCCTTGGGACTGGTCCAGAGAAAAAGCCCTCTGAAGAATTTCCCTTTAAACCAAACGAAGGTCATATTTCCTTTCATCTGCTTTTGAATGTTTGTACTGTATGAATATTAAAGCTTGGCTTGTAATAAACCAAGGGCAAGAATGAGTCCTTTAAGGCATGATGTGCTTTCAATATGCAAATGATGTAAATGGAAAAGATGATTGGAAGCTGATTAGATAAAAAATACGTTTGACACATGTATACTTTATTTGTGAAGAAGCCGTAGTCAAGCGTGTGCCATACGTTACATTTTAATGCAAACTTAAACCTAAACATTTACGCCATATTAATAGACTAGAACAGGCACAGGTATATTGCGGAAGTTGTGGCCATGCAGGGTTCTTTTCCTTTTCCTGGCAGTCTCCGAAGTTGATTACATGCATTCTGGTATTGACTACTGTATACTCTATTAATAGTAAGGTTACGGAGAATAAAGTAATGACAAATATGACTCTAATAGTCTTATGATACAAGGGCAATACAGCCTTTCGTATGGCGAAGGAAGCACTGTAATAGAAATACTGAAATTTACCATTTATAATCACATTTCGTGTACTTAAAGCGCCTTTAATAAGCAATGTAGAATACGTCATTGCATCTTTCTTATTATTACTTCGAGACCATAGTTTGATATTGAAGCATACAAGATACCACTGTCTTCCACTATATGCTTTTATTTACGGTTGGCTCGAGGTAATTTTCACTTGCAGCCTTATGGGATTGTGTGAGCAGTGAAAAGTCTCTAGATATACGTTATTGACACTCACTACTAAGGCTAACGTAAAATTTTTGGAAAGATTGGTTTGACACATTGACAAAAATGTAATACTGAAAGTAGCAGTTGTTGAGTCTTTATTAAAATAGCATTTGCAGTATACAGTACATCATGGTTATTAAATGTCCTTAGCGAAATTACCAGCCTAAGGCATCTAGCCAAGGACTAAAGGGCTTCTTCTACCGTATTAAGGCTTTCTGAGAGATTGGTGAATCTACTTTTACGCTTCATTGGATGGCTAAAAGAAAGAGAATAGGTGAAGCTGGCCGAATTCAGCTAGTATTGGTATTGTTCCATTACGAGCTTTACATTATTTATTTTAATGAAAGTAACAATCATAGCCTTTTTTTCAAAGTTTAAAAGAGTTTATGAATACATTTTTAATATGGGTTGTACTCAATCCAGTCAAATGATAAGAAAAGAGTGATCATCTATTACATTAACAAATCTACATGCAAAAATAGGAGGATGTTCTAAAAGGCGGTTGATGGTAAAAAGGTAGCAAAGGTCAAATAACTTGTATGACCTCTTGTCTCTCCTGGTGTCCTTGAAGTAAGCATTAATTGACTTGATTCCTCCACTTCTTCTGCCGTTGGTATTGGTTCATCTTTACCGAGTCTTCTCTTAACAGGCACAATCACTGGTGATCCGTCTTTACCATTCAACTTTTTCTGTTTTGCTTCTTGAATCAAATCCTGGAATGATAACTTTTGCACAGGAACGACCATGTGCTCTTTCATCAAACATTCATACATGGTGATTTCAATAAACTCATTCTGCTCAAGGGCAGTTACTGTTTTAGACACTTGTTCAATGCATGGACTGAAGCAGCATATCTTTCCTGTTCTATCCTGTTTAAATGCCTTCTTTGCTGATGCCACTGCGTCCCATGGTGCGGGTAAATCTAAAAAGACAGCATCTACTAAATTTTCAAGCTGAAATCCATCTTTACACACATCGCGATGGTGTACTTTAATGATATCACCGTATCCATGGGCTTTGAATTCGACTTCGGCCAATTTGGCTCTCTCTTCGTGATATTCGAATGTATACAATTTACCGTGTGGTGCAATGGTGCGTGCGATACTATGTGAAAATGATCCTGATCCTGTGCCTGATTCAATCATGCTCACACCTGGCTTGAGCTCGAGTAGTGTTGAAATGAATGAGATGTCTGCAAGGTATAGAATTTGCGTACGATGAGGAAGAACAAGTGTCCATAGTTCAGGTGTAGGATGAAGAAGATAGACAAATCCTTTATAGTTTGATGATACCATCTTTATTTTGTATGTTCAGTCATGAGTTTATTAAGTACGCTATAGAGCTTACCTTTGAGCCAAATTCTTTTCCAATGATATCGTTATGCTTGTAGGTACCAAATCGGTTGTTAAACTCTTGGTCTTTCTGTATGGTAATAGGTATCATATTTTCTCTAGACTTGTTACAAGTAAGAATGCTGTGTTCAACAAAGGCCTCGCTTTTTTCTTTACCATGTAGACAATCACAAGATCGCCTTCTTCAATATACTTTTTCCAACCATTAAAGCTCATGTTGAATAATAAAGAAAGAAAAAAAAAAAAAATCAAAAAAAGGAAGGGCTTGATATTGTCTTTTAGGCCCAAGCCACCAAGGTGTGTGCACTGCTTCCGTTTTCTTTCTTGTAAATGAATAACAATGAAGAACCAGATAATGATGATATCGTTTTGTTTTCTAGCGGCTTACAAGAAACAAAAGATGGAAAACTAATTACGACCACGGAACATCTTTATGAACAAATGCTTGTTTTTAACCAAAAACTTGAAGAATTAGCTGATAATGAACTTCCCAGGATGATAAAAAACACTAAACGAGAAGCAATAAAAAAAGATCTCTCAGAGGTATGTAACAATTAGTCTCATTGAAGAACAAGTATCCCGTCGCTCATGTATTAAAAAAAAGTGGCTTCCCGCTTTCTTTAAAAATGTAGCTGCCAATGTCAGTCTTGTTGGCAGTAAGAATGTCGATTTATTAGAAGGTAGTCAATGGCAACGTTCGACTTGACGTCCCTTAAACACATGTATTAGGTTTTGAGGAGCCTTTTGATGAAAGCTTGGAAAGAAAGAAAAAAGATTTGGAACAACAGTTTAATTCCTTATTGGAAAAAAGAATACATGCAAGACGCAATATATATGATCAAGTGAACCTCATTTTGCAACACGCGTCAAATAATGTTAGTCATACTGAAGATACAACAGCAACAACACAATCATCACCCCAACTATCAGAGGATCCATATTTGGATTCAGCCGAGTGGGATGAGTTGAAGGCCGAAATTGGTGGCATGATGACACACTTGACAAGCTTATCAGGGAATATAGAATCACTTATAAAAGAATATGAACAGGTTGAATCTATAATAAAGTGAAAGAAAAAAAGTGAGAAAGGAAGAAAAGAATGCATTTATGTACAAAAGGTGATGGTATTTAAAAGGTCTCGTCTTGGTTTGGACAGTCTTCTGTGGTATGCACACCGTATTGATCACAATTATCACAGTACTATAGAACATACAATAAATACCCAATTACTTAATAAAATATGGACTTACCACTTTAGAAAGTTCACAACTTAACACATCATGTCCATCATTATTACATAGTTCACAATACAGTTTACTTATGGGCAGGGTAGTAGTTGCTGTAGGCGGTGTGTTGGGTGAAGTCAACAACTTGTGCTTTAGCTGGTTCAGTTCTCTTTCAAGAGCAATCACTCTTTTCTTTTCCAACTCTAATTGCTCCTCCAGTTCTGAGTCACCAAACACCTTATTTTCTACTAGAGCTTCCAGTTGGTTGATATCCTTTGTCATCTTTCTGATCTGGTCATCTCTCTGAGAAAGCTGTGTACGCTGTGATTTGTTCTCTTCTTCCAGTTGTTTGATCTTTTCTTTCAAGTGAGTGTATCCATCTCCTCCTAGTTCCGCTTCCTGACTCTCTAGTGCGATCATTTCGTCCATGAGTTTATTATGATCCTGCTCAAGCTGTTTATGAATCTCCAACAGTTCATTATACTGCTTTTCTATCGTCATCTTTGACAACTTCATTTGCTCATGTTCATCCTCTGCTTTCGTTTGAGCTTCAAAGGCATGGTCTGACTCCTCGACCAATCGGCGTTTATCCTGCAGCTCCTTTTCGAAATCTGCCTGTAGACTTTGGAATTTCTGCTCGACCGATAACGCATGTTGCCGAGATTGGTTGAGTTCCAACCTGAGTTGTTCAATTTCATGCAGCAGCGATTTTATGCTATTTCTTTCATTATCCAACTCCTTCATGGTCAATTCTAATTGTTCTTCTAAGCGATGTCGCTGATCACTTTGATTCATACTAGTGAACTCTCTGAGCTTTTCCTCAATATCGCGCTCGTCATCATCAAATAAGGTGCTTTGTTTATGCTTCAAGTCTGCAATGACATAATTCAAATGTTGAATCTGTGCCTCTTTTTCCCTCATAACTTGCTCATAGTTCTCCTTTTGCTCATCCATCTTTAGTTCGACAGCATGAACAGCTTCGATGCCTGTTCGACGCATTTCATCGCATTCTTTTTCGAGAGAAGCTGTCATGGCTTCCATCGAACTCATCTCACGTCTCATCTGTTCCACAACACCAGCATATTCCCGTTCTTTTTGCACCTGCAGTTCTTGTTGTGTCTGAAGCTGCGCCTGAAGGTCACGTACTAGGTTTTCCAACCGCTCGATACGTCGTTGATCCTGGCTTTGCTTCTCGTCATCTCGTACATTCTTGGCAATCGATGCATCCCTTTCAGCAAGATCCAATTCGAGCTGTTTACGTTCCTGTTTGACAACTTCAAGTTCCTGAGAGAGACGTTTGCACTGGCTCTCGCTATCTTGTATTTGAAGCTTCAAGCTTTCCTTGGAGGACAAGAGGCGCTCCCAAGCAGTTTCCTTATTCTTCATCTCTTGCATCAGCTGATCTCGTTCTCGCTGGACCTTTTCAAGCATGTCATATAGTAGCTGCGTCTCCTTCTTGGTCTGTTCTTCATACTCAGCCTTGGCAGCAGCAACAGCAGTTGCGACCATATTTGCTTGGGATGGCGATGGAGCAGGAGGAGGAGGAGAAGGAGAGGCTGGTGTATCCTTGGTAGTATCTGGAATTTGTGTCTGCCGTTTTTCTTGAACAGGTGTCTCTGTCTGTCGTCTTGTCGATATCTCGTTTCGAACGGATGCATCACTTTGCCTTTTGGGTGTTTCACTCTGCCTCTTGGGTGTTTCGCTCTGTCTTTTGGGTGTCTCGCTCTGTCTTTTGGGTGTCTCGCTCTGTCTCTTGGGTGTCTCGCTTTGTCGTTTCGGTTGTGTAGGCGTCTGACTGGACTTGGGCGTCAAGGAAGGTGTTTGACTTGTCTTGAGCGAGGATGAAGGAGTCTGAGTGACACGTTTGAGTGTACCTGCAGGCTGAATGAGTCTTTTTGTAGGTGAAGGTGAAGAAGTATGGCTCGATTTTCTAAAAAGAGAAGCACTGGTTGAAGGCGATGAAGACAGTTTAGTGCTCGATAGTGATTTCTTCAGGGATCGCTTTGCTGTCGACTTTCGTGCCGTGCTTGTGGATGGTGTGACTGAAGGCACTGCGGAGGGAGGTGGAGGTGGAGGTGTTAGGATGGTGATTTTGTTAAGTGCGATAAAGATGCCCGAATTGAGTGGACAGTGAAAATATCTCTTTCTGTAATAAAATATGTATAAGCATAAAAGGTATACATTAAAAAGGATAATTTTACCCCTGTACACTTCCATCATTCTTTCCCTGTCCTATTGCATCTAATTCAATGCCTGCCCAGGTACCTTGTTTTCCATCGATCAGACCAATATAACGAAGTGTTCCTGTCATGTTATTTAAAGTAGGTAACAAGACGCGTTGACCAATTCTGTCATCTTCTAAGGCAAGATTACGAGCAGAGGGAATCTTTAACATGCTTAATATGAAAACAAAGAAAAAGAAAAGCACAGTTGCCTCCTGTGCCAATTTGCGGCTTTGTAAATTTTTTGCGGGTTTACATAACCCAAATTTGCAGGTTTTTTATTGCTAAAGGAGGACAAAAGGTGTGATATTAGCCCTTTGAGCCATGCTTTATTTATTCGAAATAATGTAAAATAAGCAGCATATCTCTTTATCCTCTTCTACGAGCTTTTCTTCTTTTCTTTTTTTGTAAAAATAAGGAGAAAGAGTCTTTAGAGAGATTGTCGAATATTCGAATATATCATGGGAAGTATCACATCTTTTGCCCTCTTTTCGTCAACTTTAGGGCGTTGATTGGCGGTCGTTGTTGGCTTTTTTTTTTTTGCACCATGTGGTCCACAAAACCATCTCCGAGCATATAACTGGCGAGTTCTCCTGCGATGGGGCTTGATTAATGATGCCAGCTAGTATCTCAATATACTTAATAAGTAGACAATAGGGTTGTCTCACCCAGCCTGTCCATGCATGAAATCGTAGAGAGCAGAGTAATCTTTATCCCTTCACATACCTACGTGATTACGACCAACCTTTAACATATCATCTGTTGGCCTAGTAGACTGTTGGAATTGGGCACTAATAGGCAAGACATAGCGATCGTCATACTTAATCAAGAGTATATCTTTCTCTTCAGAGAAGAATACAAGATACGCGCCTTCCTCGAACTTCAATCTATATTCCCTTTAAATTTGAGAAGCCAAGGAAGTTAGGGTAGATAAGACTTGAATAGTCTACCTGAACAAAGTTATCATCAATCACATTGAACCTGACGTGGCCAAGAAAAGTTCTCGCTTTCAGGGTTGATCAGATCACTGGCGAGATTGTAAGGCTCACTCCCTCACGCGCTCCTTACCAGTAGAAACTACCATCATTGAGGGTTGTAAAATGGCCGAGTTTTCTTGACACTTCCTCCAATGGTCTGTTCGACTTGTTCTCTTGTAAACAATTGCTCAAATTGATCATTGGACATATTAATAATACCATGGTACGCGACATGAAAAAAAAAAAATGATAAAAAATAGCATGAAGACTAGCATTTTCTATTATCTGAAAATAATAAGAGTCTATTACCACCACATCGGAACCTGGAACGGAGGCAACAATGATTAGAACAAGTATGCCCTCTAGACAAAAGCGAGAAAAACAGATATATAAAATTTTCTTTTATTTATGATATTTGCAATGTGTGCGCATGACAACATTAAATAATCCCCAGATAAAAAAATAATAATATAAAAAAAAAGTTAAAAGTTGGTCATCATGTCATTATTAACAAAGACTTGCTGTTGTTGTTTATGGCGAAGGGGTAATTTAGACATGATGTTTAAAGAGCGCTTTTGTTGATCCAAAATATCATCTTCTTCTGACAAGTCATCGGATAAGTCATTATCTTGAATCAATGTAGGGTTTACTAATAAGCTGTTTCTGTTTTGATATTGTTTTAAAGAATAGGATAATAATTGGATATGCTGTAAAGCTCTTTCCAGTTCCTGCCTGGTTTCATTAAGCGTATTCTCTTTTTGTAGTGTGATGCCTTTTAATGCATTAATTGTATATCTTGCAAAGGACAATTCTTTGTTTAATAATTCATTCTGTTGTTTAAGATAGGCATTATCAATTTCAAGTTGAGCCCAACTCCTGGTTGACTCTAATATAATGTAAATAAAAAAGAATAATATAAAGATGATATAAATACCTTTTCTTTTTTCTTGTTGTGTCATATTATTATATTGAATGATGAACAGTCCAGCTGAAATTCCCTTTTTTTTTTCTTTCACTTGATGATATGTGTGTGTATGTATGATGTATATAAATATATACTAGAATATATGTAGATTATATAATATATAAACAGTAAAGTAATGGTAATAATATAAAGATATATATATATATGTCAAATATATATATATATGAATATATATGATAAAAGTGTGTTGTTGCTATTCTGTATAAAAGAACAGAAAAAAAAAGAGAAAAAAGAGGAAAAAAAGAAATAGAGTGAGAAATTGACGAACGAAAATTTTTTTTCTGGCGTGGTACCAAGTTACCCGTGCCCAAATTTTTGAAGGGCACTCTCTCTCTCTCTCTCTTACATTTTCTTTATTATTTTCAGTTGTTCGATGCACACATATGCATATGTTGTACTTGAGTAACTACTAAAATGTCTACTGCATACAACACTTTTTAAATCCATTATTGATGCACATGTTAATCATAGTGCATCTAATAATATACTCATACGTGACATTATACTTTAATGAAAGAATGGGTGCCAATACATTGATAGTAACTTTACCGGAAGAATAACTGCTTTCTTTTGAACTGAAAAAATACTTGACTAAAAAATAAATGACCAAAAAAGGAAAATAGCTATTGTCTGTCCTTTTTATTGGGCTCAAACTCAATTAATCAATTCATTTACAGTTGGAGCTAACGCTTTCACCTTTGACTAATTAAAAAAAAAATGATTCGAACTGTTTGAAATATAGAAAGTACTAATTTATTTATTTATTTTTAGGGCAATGAAATACACTTGTTCAACTAGGGAGGGGAATTTGAATTTTTTTCCCTCCCCTTTTAATAACAAAGTATAAAGATGCATATGACGAAGTCGCCAATTATATGGCGCCTACACTTTCTCCAGACGTCTTCAATTTATTTTAAAAAGCTGTATCAAAATGATAAGCATGCTCATTATATGTTGTAGATTACAGCGGATCAAATGTAGAGTCAATTTAATGGAAGCAACTTTTACGAGACATAACAGTTAGAGCTGACGTAATAAAGCAAGGATAGATCATTAATTGTCTGTCGTGCTCAAGACAATCCCTTGTTGGTTCCCACCCAAACTTTGAACGTCGCACAGACTTTCCTAGCCGCGCTTTCTTTTTTCCTTATTTATAAAACAAAGCAAATACAGTGAAGGTATTTTGACGAACCTTTGGCTGGGTCACAAATCTGTTACTCAGCGTAATTGTGACAGCCTGTGGCTCACATAAAATACTAAATCTCCATCGGAAATTGAAAATACAATGCTTGCTTAAGATTTCTGATCATATATACTATGCAAAGGTTCTAGCACACTTGTTGTAATTACTTATTTAAAAGAAAGAGCATTATATCATTACTAGAGATAGACGCTTGACATATTTGTAAATCCTTTATCTTTAAATAACTCTTTGCTGAGATTAACGCTTCTTGAATATGATGTGCTGTGGTTCCTGAATATGATCATATATAAGGATACTGATTGTCTTGGTCGATTCTTTCTTCTTCTTCGCCTTGTTTTTAGTAAATAAATAAGCAGAAAATCTTCAGCTTACCTTTGGTTTTCCTTGCTTTATTATTAATCAAATAATATCACAATATTACTACAACGTTTTCATTGCAGCTAGTCAACTAACACCATTATGTATAACGGACAATCTTCATTCTCCAGCCTTACCGATCAAAGAGTGATAAATGCTACAAGAGAAGCTGAAATCCTTGAACACACTTTGCTAGGCCTTGAGAACAAACGCCCAAAAAACACGACATTGGTGTACAAAAAGAAGCAGGAGATCCTTATGGTACATGTCATATATGGATATATGGTATGAACGCGCTTACACGTCTTATTTCAATAGGACTTTTGCATAGAAAATCGCTACGCGGATGGCTGTATTGTGACTGAAGCTAAGTTATTGCGTTTTCTCGATGAAGTCGTTGTACCTAGAGGCAGCTTAAAAAAGGATCGAAAGGATGATAGTTCCGTGTATGAACTTAAAATGGAAACTATTCAACAATACATCAAGGCGGTAGTTAACCTTCATGCAATTCAATTTTCCAGAAATATATCCAGGGAATCTGGTGTTCGTGGTGCTGCTCTACGTGCATGGTTGAAGAACAGACGACACAGTGAACGACAACGAAAGCGTGAGAGTTACAAGGATCGCGCTCGTCACACTGCACAGGACGGTTACACCCCTGAAGAACTTATCAAGCTATCAATATTCTATTTCAAAGAAGGAAAGGAGAAGCCATTCAGGAACCGAATGCTCTTTCTGATGCAGCATATGATGCTGTTACATGGTAAGGGCACTGGAGATATGGAACTATGCGATCTTTTCCCTTTAGAACCTCAACTCCAGTTGGCGAATTTCTAAAATGAATAGCGGGAAATAAATTTTCAATTGGCATTTTTTATTATTCCAATTGGCTTATTTTATTTTTTCGAATTGCGGATTTTTATGACACCCAGATCACTAACATCTTCACTTTTCTTCACATTCACATTACTTTGCCATCTCATTCAGCCGTGTATGAAGTAGAACTAACCAACAAGGAAAGATAGTGGGGCCACTCAACCTTAAAAGGAAAGTGAGTTAACACTATTTAAAGAGTACCTTGACTATTAGAGTCAACCATAAAAGGATGTTGTTTCCAGCCACACAAATCGAGTTTACCACCAAAACCAACTAGAGTATTCTCAGCATTGTGCCTTCTATTTTGCAAGGAATACAATGAAGACAATGTAAAAATGATCCCAGAAAAGGTAGCCCTTTATGAGGATCTAGAAATTTGCCATGCTGGCGACTCTCTTCAGCCATTGCTATTTCCTCATGTTAGGATCAATTCAAATCCTTTTGATTTTTGCAAGTATAGCTCTGAAGCTGATATAGTATCACAAGAAATTCAGGAAAAGATAAATGTTAACTTTAGTAAGTTTGAATGACGTTTAATATCATTTTTTAATTATTATTAATACTGTTAAAATAGTGCACGATGCTCAGATTGTTTAGTTTCTGAATCAAGTGTATGTCCCAACTGAGCTATGGAACGAATCACTTTACATAAAAAAGAAAGTCTCATCCAAGGATATTTTTTCTTTGGTTATGTTATATACAACTAGATTTGATGAGAAATCGTTGTTATCTTTCATAAAATGGTGCAACATCAAGAAAGTTTTATACATGAACCAAGAACAGGAGCGAAAAGTATTGAAAGATCAAAACGGTTCAAAGGTTCGATTTCAAGTCTTATGGACATTAAAAAATGATTATTTGAATGGCACTACTTTATCAATTACGGAGCATCTGCCAAAGTACCAGGCATATGTCAAGAACCTCAAGAAAAATAACTTCACAGTCATTGGATACGCCAGAAAGTCTCCAGGCCAGGTACATCAGGAAGTGAGAGTGGGCTTGATTCAAAAAATGGTCAACAAATTGTATGACACGTTGCTTGTGGATAAAGTATTTGTCAGTACGTCATCGCGAGCAAATGATACTATTTAAACGCTTTGAACATCTCCCAAAAAATTGATTTGACGTCTCAAAACGTTTTACAAAATATTCCAAAAATTATTTAAAACGCCCCATATGCAACCGAAAACACTGTATGCATTGGAATTAGAACACATGAATTCGGTTATTTATCCTTTAAGGAAAAAGAAAGAAGAATAGATAAATCACATGCATACAGATGCGTCAATCTGCAGCGTGCCACGGACCTGAAGCTAAACGTGGGACATGTTTATTTTTTTCTTTATGCGATATCAATAAATAAATGATATAAATACAAGTAAAATAAATAAATAAATAAAAAAAAATACAGTTATTTAAGTCCATTCAAGATGGACGTTCGAGTAATACCCGGTAAAGGATCTGATTTAGTCAAATAGACTGTCCTTGGGCTATTGACAATGACTACTTTGGAGAACTTTACTGATTTTGATGAATAATCGATCCAACTGTTAGTCAGCAATGATGCATTGTGTGTATTTGGCGGTAGTATGTCTACAATGATAAGTCTTGTCATGATAAAGAGAAAGAGAGAAAGAAAGAGAAAAGGAGAAAATATATAAAAGGGGGAATATATAGAGTTTTACTCACGCGAACACTTAAAGTGGTTTAATAAAAAGAGTTTAAAATAACCACCTTATTTTATTTATGTACAGGAATTTGCTAATTTTTTTTTTTTATAATCCAAGATTATTTTACAATCAACAGACTACAGTCAAGATGATGCACCAAGTATTCTGAAACTGAACCAGCTATCACCCTATTATCTACAATTAAAATACTATCTTTTCCCCTGTTTACTTTTACTTACCGTTTAAATAAACCTTTATGATTTCGACCACAGATAACAAGATCAATACTATGATCCTTTGCATACTTTATAATTGCCTTCTCAGGATCTCCCTTTAACAATGCAGCCTTTGTGTTTTTCTAAGTAAATGTGAGCAAATATAAGGTGTGACAAACAATCCTGCGACTTACATAACCGAGGTCACGAAACTTTTCAATGCCTTTCATCAAGTTTTGTTGACCACGTCTTTCCAATATACGAATGTCAATACCATAATCTTCTGAAATATTTGCTGAACCAGACATGGGTGCAGATTGCCATCCTGGACCTTCTACAGAAGAGACATCTTCATCCACGGCTGTAGCCAAATATATCTCATCCTCCACGTTCAACAGATGATGTGAATGTACCCAATCAAGAACATGCTGACCAGCTTTTGTTTCATCAAGAGCAATCAAGATTTTTCTATTTACAGTTGACATAATAGAATGCTGAAAAAAAAAAAGAGAGGTCTTTGCATGATTATCGCACTTATAAAATAAATAAATCAATCGGGGATTGCAGAAATTAATAGTACGAAATAGTGATTTCAGTGGAAGCATTACTTCACTTCATTGTAACTAGTTTATGCGGAGCAAAATGAAAGATTCTTTGATAAACGGTTGTAAGAAAGCACAGTCTTACTTTGTTAGGTCATGCTTATTGATGTAATTCATTGCCAAGTTAAAATATCTTTTGCAGATTTGGTCAAGTATATCATTATGAAACACATTGAATAAGAGCTCAACTTAATCCCGTTTCAGAGTTGGCTAAAAAAAAAGTCTAGGAGTTTGAATTTATCTAGGGTATGACGGTTGAAGCGACTTGTCAAAATAACTGATTGATGGTATCATTTTTTATGCAAGGCTTTTTTCTTGAGACTATTAAAGAAGACATGCCTAAATCTTTTCTCCTCGCTCTTTCTCTCCTTCACTCAATCAAGCAAAAAGGTGCAGCTCCTTTTCCTGTTTATACACTATAGGAACGTGTAATTTGCTTGAATATTTTATAGATGCTGACTCTTTTACTCCTTAAATAAATAAAAATGTGCAGACAATGACAACGACTGTTCTTTTTCCTCTTTTTTTTTCTTTTCCCTTTTCCCTCTTCATATAGTAAACAAATGAAATGATTGGTCATACTATATCCTCTGATAGATCACTCAAATCATTTAAATCACATTCAACTCTATCAAAGTCTCATGTCACAAAGGTATATAATACCGTACCCTTGACAGATCAAAAATCCAGTGACGAAAAGGTTCGACTGAAAGGCGTTTTGGATAAGTTTGTAAGCGGATTTGGTCAAGGTAATCATGTGTGTTGAAAATATAGATCAAACTGTATTCAAACTATTGAATAGCAAACCTTCCAACGACAACAACCATGGACATTTCTTCTCCTTATAACACAAGACATGTCACTCATGTCGGGTTCGACGCAACCACAGGCGAATTTACGGGTTTACCTAAAGAATGGCATACGTTATTAAAGGCAAGTGGTATCACTCAAACAGAACAAGAACAAAATCCGCAGGTAATCTATCTCATGTTTTTTTTTTTTTATATCATCTCTCCTCTATCTTTCTTTACTAAACTTCCACTCCTTGTATTGCACTCCTTATACATAGGCTGTCATTAATGCTATTGAATTTTATCAAGAATCAAGAGATGATGCTGTTTGGCAAAAAATACCCAATAAACGGAGTAGCGGTGCATCTTCTATTCTCAAAGCTGCAGGAGGAAATGTTATTACCAACTCTTTACGTAGATTGTCGAGACTAAAGCTATCTGATTATACCAAAAGATCATCCGTAGTAAATATATATATATATATATATAAATATAAGCTGTGGAAGGAGGAACTGACGTTATGTTTAGTCTTCAGCTAGATCATCATTCATAGGTAACGATACATATATATAAGAATGAGGGGAAGGGGGATAGCGCAACTGACAATAAGCATAGAAAAAACTACTGAACCAAGTACACCACCAGCATCATCATCAGCATCCGTCATTTCGGCTAATGAAGAAGAGGAAACACCTGTTGTTAAGCGTAGACAAGTCAAGTCTACTTCTCCGGACAAGGATGTAGTTAGTCAGCTAAAAGAGATTTGTATCAATAAGGATCCTAGAGAGATATACTCTGATATGGTTAAGATCGGTCAAGGGTAAACTTGAAACTCAAGTGGGTCTTTATATATATTCCAAGAGCTCAAATATTTTTTCTTCTCTAGTGCATCCGGTGGTGTGTTTATCGCATATAATGCAGACAAGGTCCCAGTTGCGATCAAACAAATGAATTTAGCTCAGCAGCCAAAAAAAGAGCTCATTATGAATGAAATCCTTGTCATGAAAAAGGCACAACATCCCAACATCGTCAACTACTTGGACTCATATCTTTGGAAAGGTGATCTTTGGGTTGTGATGGAATATATGGAAGGTGGTAGTCTGACAGATGTTGTGACCTGCAGCATGATGACAGAGGGTCAAATTGCTGCTGTCTGTAAACAAGTTTTACAGGGTCTGCATCATTTACACTCCAGTGGTGTTATCCATAGAGATATTAAGAGTGACAACATTTTACTAAGCATGAAGGGAGATATTAAATTAAGTAAGTCTCCCCTCCTCCTGAATGAAACGAAACACTTACTCCTTTTTTTTCCCTGCAGCCGATTTTGGCTTTTGTGCTCAGCTAAATGAAAGTCATGCCAAGCGAACCACCATGGTAGGTACACCATATTGGATGGCACCTGAAGTTGTTACGCGCAAAGAGTATGGTTCAAAGGTCGATGTCTGGTCACTGGGTATCTTGGCCATCGAAATGGTCGAAGGCGAACCTCCTTATTTGAACGAAAACCCACTTCGCGCCCTGTTCCTGATTGCAACCAATGGTACGCCTAAACTCCAAAGTCCTGAATCGTTATCGGAGGTCTTTAGAGACTTTTTAACAAAATGTCTTGAAGTGGACCCCGAGTTACGTCCGTCAGCAGAAGATATGTTGAAACACCCTTTCCTCTCATTAGCTGATTCTCCGCGATCTCTTTCTCCTCTCATTCGTGCTGCCAAAGAAAGCACCGATTCCGAAGAGTAATAAAAAAAATACACATTGTTGCACGTCGTGACTACTTGACTCAGTTTCCAACTTTTCTATCTCTCTCCTTTCTTTTTCTTTTCCTTTCTTTTTTTTTTTTTTTTTTTCTCTTTGTATCTATACTTTTAAGCCCTTTTTTCATTTCTTTTTCAATCATGAGCGGCAATATTAAAGTTGTTGTCCGTTGTCGTCCCTTAAATGAAAGAGGTAAAATAAAGGAGTGCACAAAAAAAAGGGGGTGATAGCAGTAACTGAAACAGGTGTCTTTGTATATAGAAAAAGCAAGAGGGGCTGAAAACCTCGTCCGTATGGAAGGAAATCAAACGATCATTACTAAAAAAAATGGAAAAGAAAATATTGTCAAGGCATTCACTTTTGACCGTTCATATTGGTCGGTAGATAAAGATGATCCTGATTATGCCGACCAAGCACTGGTTTATAATGATTTAGGAAAAGAGTTACTAGATCATGCGTTTGATGGATACAACTGTTGCATATTTGCCTGTAAGTCACAGTCTTGTTTTTTTATTCTTACTTATTCTTCTTTAGATGGACAAACTGGTTCGGGAAAATCATATACAATGGTATTTAGGTACCAGTTTGCACACAACACAGTAGAAAAAGCTTATTTTTGATATTCATAGATGGGATATGGAGAGGATAAAGGAATTATACCAAGAACATGTGAAGAATTATTTGAAAGAATAGACGACTTATCTACTCCGGAACTCAGTTACCGAGTAGAAGTATCCTACATTGAGATTTACAATGAAAAGGTTCGAGACTTGTTAAATCCAGCAAACAAAGGCAACCTCAAAGTCAGAGAACACCCAACGATTGGACCTTATGTCGAAGACCTCTCACGGTTAGTCGTAGGCTCGTTTAAAGATATTGATCATTTAATGAATGAAGGAAATAAAGTAAAGAAAAGAAGAAAAAAGAAATACCAAAGCGCTGTCATGTTAATTTTCTTTATTTATTTTTCATTTTTCTACCCTCCAATTTTATATGTCTATTCTTATACGCGTAATAGGCCAGAACAGTTGCTTATACCAACATGAACGCCACCTCCTCTCGATCTCACGCAGTATTCACACTCTTCTTATCTACAACCCGACAAGGCAAAACAGAAAAATCAGCGCGCATCAGTTTGGTCGACTTGGCAGGTAGTGAACGAGCAACATCAACGGGGGCTACAGGAGTTCGACTGAAAGAAGGTGCCAATATCAACAAATCATTGACGACACTAGGAAAGGTTATTGCATCACTAGCCGAACATCATCACAAGAAGAACGAACACATTCCGTACCGTGATTCCGTACTGACGTGGCTACTCAAGGATTCTCTCGGTGGTAACTCCAAGACAGCGATGGTCGCTGCTATCTCACCAGCAGATTATGACGAAACACTCAGCACGCTTCGATATGCAGACCAAGCCAAACGTATCAAGAACAAGGCTGTCGTGAATGAGGATCCAAACACACGACTGATACGCGAGTTGAAACAGGAACTTCAGGCACTCAAGGATACCCTGATGATTTACGCTCCAGAAGAGGTCGAAAGGATCGTTCAGCAAAAGAAGTCGGGCCAAAAGATCACAAACAGTAGTCGATCATCCTCCGCCAGAGCCTCGCCCATGCTTCTCATTTCACCTGAATCGCCTATCGTGACTCGACAGGGCACACGTCTGATGACAACCGAGCAAGTGCTGGAGCAACTCGAGGCGTCTGAGAAGCTGCTTGAGCAAGTCAATCAGACATGGGAAGAAAAGATGACAAAAACGGAGACAATCCATCGTGAGCGTGAAAAGGCGTTGGAAGAACTGGGCGTGATTGTGGAAAAGAATAATATGGGCGTCTATGCGCCTAAATCCATTCATCTGATTAACTTGAGCGAGGATCCTTTGATCACCGAGTGTCTCATGTACCATATCAAACCAGGTACAACCCACGTGGGAAGACTTGGAAGTGATGCACCTGCAGATATCAGGTTGAGTGGAGAGGAGATCATGGAGGACCATTGCCATTTTGAAAATGTGAAGCAGGATGAGAGCGATGAGATGACGACTGTCACGATCTATCCACGTCCACATTCGGTCACTCTTGTCAACGGCATGCGCATTCAAGAGCCAAAGGTACTGCACAATGGGTACAGAATCATCTTTGGATCAGGGTTACATCATCTCTTCCGATTTAATCATCCTGAAGAAGCCAAACGGATGCGCGAAAAACAGCAGCAGCAGGACGTAGATGAAGAGCTCCCAGCCGATTGGAAGTTTGCGCACAGTGAAGCACTCTCCAAGTTTGTCAATCCATCCACAGACATAAACGCCATGACGGATGACGATATTCAGCAGCTCTATGTCGGAATCAGTAAAGTGCATGAGTTTCGAAGCAGAAAGCGTATTTCTTCCTCTGACGGTGGGATTCTTGACGATGACTCTGTCACAAGTACATCAAATCTGTCACGTAGAACATCCGTTCGGTTCAGCCAAATCTCATCCACAACAAGTCTTACAACAGAGCGTTCTGAAGAACAGCAAAGGCAAGATGAACTCGAAGTCAAGTACCTGCAGGTCAAGCAAGAGATGGAGACCGTGTTGGAACAACAAAAAAGGGAATATGAAAATAAAATCAAGCGTATTTCTGCACACTTGCCTCCAGGAACCACTCTAAGTTCAGACGATTTGCTGATAGGCTATACCTCCAAGAACGCATCAGAGTATCTGGTCAAAAAGACGCTTGCCCATTGGCGCCAATGGAGATATGTAAAGATGGCAGAAGGATGTCTTGTTCATGCAGTAGTCTTGAAGGAGGCTAACATAATGGCAAAGGAACTGGGTAAAAACGTCACTTACCAATTCACTGTCGTCCATGACAACATGTCGGCCGGCCCTGTGTCCTTCTGGGAGGCAAGTTCAGCGCTTCAACCATTTGAGCGAGAAATAGACGATGCATTGATGGAAGAACCAAAGCCCTGCTTGGCTGTTCAAGTCATTGATCACATGCACAGAGTGACCTATATCTGGTCTATTGCCAACATCAAGAACCGTTTGCGGAGTATGCGACAGCTCTATGACTATACCGATCGTCCCTTGTTCACTCATCCTCATTTCTTTCATCGGGATGACCCGTTTTATGAGACACCTTGTCCTCGATACTCGTTGATTGGATTCGCTCGTATTCCCTTGCGTAACCTCACTCTTCAATTGCATGCGGATAATCTTGTCGACATTTATTGTCGAAACACGGGCAAGGTGATGGGCCAGCTTCGTGTGCTTGTCACGCCCATTGCTCGATCTATCTCTCGAAGATCGTTCAAGCAAGCTCAAGAGAGATCCCTATCAGTCGTAAGTGAAAAGTATTTACTACATATTGGACAACAGCAAGTGTTTGAGATACGTATTCAGGAAGTCATTGGCATATCCGAATCCGACTTTACTCAAGTCCATGCCCAGTTCCACTTATCGTCTTTTGGTAACGTTGAGCCAAATTCAAGAGAAGACAAGGTATATCCTACTGAGCCAGTCAGTCAGTTTGGAGATGGCCCAGTCAAGTTTGATCATTGTCAGACATTATCGATTCACATTACAGAGAAAATGATGGGTGTTATCCTAGAAGAAGGACTTACGATCGAGGTATTTGGCCAAGCCCAAGAGGATTACTTGTATCAGCTCGTCGATATGCCTCCTCAGACAGGCGCCATGACAGATATCCCCGTAAGCCGACGATTTTCTCTCGATCGACGATTTTCTCTTGAAAAATCTACATATGATGGTATACTGATGGAGGAAAGACATGATGTTCTTGCCTGGATCCAAATAGCCGAGCTAGACTCTGAGGGCAATTATGCACCGGTACCCGTCACTCACGACCCGATGGAAGCTTTCTCATTACGTCAAGGTATTCAACGGCGTATCTCTCTAACTCTCATTCATGATTCAGGCAATCAGTTTCAATGGAAGAACATCAGCTGTTTGAAGATAGGTCAAGTGCGACTTGTTGATCAACAAGGAAGACTATTAGAAACCACGTCAGCAGAGCCAGTCGAGATCCAGCTGTTCCCACAGACTGGGGCAGAGCTTGATAAAAGCGGTATTTCTCGTATGATGGTGCAGGGCCCATGGGACAGTTCACTGCACAATTCGATCTTTTTAAATCGTACGACTCCCTCACACCAGTACGTGCAACTAGCGCTCTCATGGCAAGTAAATTGTGACAAATGTGTGAGTCCGCTTCAATTTGAATTGGATTTTGCTGTGCAAATTCAAGGAAGAGACATGGGCATCTTTAGACAATTATGGTCACCAGCGCCTGCCAAACAGGTATACAAGGCGAGTGCAAAGTATGTCGTACATCTGAAACCTCAAATGACGCGCCAGGTACGTGAATTGTGGCGACTGAACACAGCAAACAAGTATGTTCGTGGGGAAGAGTTCATCGGCTCTTGGAAACCGCGAGGTGTATCGTTGATTACAGAATACCGGGAGGCAAGACGAAAGATGGAGTATCGTGAGCATGTGGCTGCTTTTAGACATGCGTTATTACTTGCAGGTCATCCACAGGCAAAAGAGATAAGAAGGGGTCAATTGGGTATAGAAGAAGAAAAGAAAAAAGAGAAGGTGATGGATAGTAAAGAGCTTTTGGAAAAGGTGATTCAACTGTGGACAAGAAAGTTTGGCACTCAAGAAGAGGTTAATACCTAAAGGAAAAATATAGCATGTTATTGATCTCTTTTTGATGATTCTAGATTGTATTCAATCAAGATCCACCGAGCGTTGGTTCTATAACTCCATCTGCAAGTAGTCAAAGTATAAAGCATTCGAGTAGTAGCCAGAGTATAAATGAATATCATCAAAAGAATGTAAAATTGATAGCCGACATTCAACAGTTATATCCAAGGTAAATCAATATTCATGAGTTTAGAATGCATTTAATCCAAAACTTGTCAAACAGTGACACAGTGACTAAAAAAGGATATCTACTACATCCAAGAAACGTGGATGAAGAATGGCAGAAGTACTGGTTTGTACTAAGAAGGTAAAAGAAATATAAAGAAATATAAAGAAATACTTATGTTAGTAGGCCATACATCATTATATACCAAGATAATACAGAAACAGAAGAGTTGGGCGTCCTTCATCTTACTTCAGCCAGAGTTGACTATAAGTCAGAAATAGAAAAAATGCTTCAGGTAATATTATTTAAAATAATAAATTGTACTACGCCAAGTCTATTTTACTTATTTATTAATAGCGAAAGAATATGTTTGCTATTTATACCAGTAATAATGCTTATCTTTTAGAAGCTTTAGATTTTGATGATATGAAAGATTGGATTTCTAAAATTGATCAATTTTATCCAGTGGATAGCTTACAATAGGAGAAAAATAAAGAAACTCCTCCTTATTGTGTATTCTTAACCACGCGTGATTGTTTTAACTTTCCGATTTTAATAAAAAGGCAAAAAACACACTGCCCCTCTTTTCCCTCTTTTCTCTCTCTTTCTATTATTACTATTTTTACTGTGTCATTTATAAGCAATGGAACAAGAACAACATATAACTGATAATGTTCATGGATGGTTAATGAACGTACCTCATTATCGTCAAGATCATTCACAAGATTATCTAAAGTAAATATAGAAAGGCATATAAATGTAACTGAAATTGAATGTTTTATCATTAGAAAACAAAGACATTTATCGACTGCATCTATAAGTTCAGAAGATAGCGTCAACTTGGATGAACTCATCAATGGTAATTTTACAACAAGTATGGAAGAAGAAACAGACTTGAATGATTTATCTTTATTGGATCTTGATGACTCAAAAGAAGACTTTTGGAAAGTGGATAATGTAAGACAGATATTTTATTACAAGTCTTGTTATTAACGGAAATTTTCAATAGATCTACATACCTACGCCAACTACATTTAATAAGCAGAAACTAGAGCCAAGCTATTATCATAAAGACAGTAGCAGATCAAGAGAATTGGGAATATTAGATGATATATTTCAAAAGGTTCGAACCAAACGTACGTTATTTTCTCTCCTTATTTACATGTTCTCTTAGAGAAACAAACAAGACTTTATGAGTACAATAGATATAACATGTCCTGCTATACAACAATATGGTAATGGGTGATAATTTACAACATTTCAATTATATTAAATATATACAATAGATACTCCTACTCATTCACCTTCTTCAATTACTTTGCATGTCCCTTCTTTACCCGTTTCACCAAAATCTCCTATTCTGTTTCAAAACAAAAGGTCAGGAAGTTTCAGTAGTGAAGCAAGCATGAATTCCCAATCAACAATTATGCAGTACCAGCATCGTTCTGTTCGTCCTACTGAATCAACCTCTACTTCATCCTTTGGTAGTCAATCTACTGCTACATCTGCATTATCTCGTTCAACTATTCCTATTGCTGAAAGTACACTTCGTCGTAGACAACAACAACAGCAACAACAACAGCAACAAAATTTGTCATTAAGTGTTTCTGAAAGCACTTGTAAAGCTTCAGATACCCCTCGTACCTTATCATCGCATGCTGGTTTAACCAGACGTGCAACTCATATCCCTGCACCCAGTACTACGGTACGTAAAACTGGAACAAGACAATCGATCATACCTCAACGAACAAAATCAACCACGACTTCAAATACATCATTACTGCCCTCTCAACAGCAACCACGTTCATTAAGTAGAATGAGTCAAGCCTCGGGTCGAGCGAGTCATATTCCTACAGCTCCAAGAAGCACAACCTCATTAGGTATTGCTTCTATTTCATCGCCACAAAAGCAATCAAGCATCCCACAATGCAACACAAGAAGCAAACCTTCAATAGGAAACAGTTTATTGTCTCAAAGTAAAACAAAGAGTAGTGGCCTGAGGGCGCCAGCTTCAAGAAGCTTATACAAGTATTAATGTTTTCTATTTATTCATTTTAAAAGTTTAGCTTTTTATTTATTCATTAAAAAGGGAGGACAGACAATAAACTTATAATATTAAAACCCTTACATTTCTTCACAATAGCCCGGAACTGTTGGCTATAAAAGGCATTTTAGCACATTTTTGATATCTGTGCATTCTGTGTTTATTTGTACAATGATACACGTGGAGTGTATCCGTGCTCACGGCTTGTGAATAACAAGTGTTACAGTCAATGGCAGCGTTTATAAGAAAAATGACCTCTGTGTTTTTTTTTGGAGATCTGTTAAGCAGAAGCGCAAGAATTCGATGTAGCGCCACCCAAAAATTAATTAGAATTATTAGTTTATCTATTGTAAACAATCAAATGCTTTTAATAGCTTGTGATGATAGCAGCCATTTTTTTTTTTAAAAAAAAAGTCAGTCAATTTATCATGACCGTAAAAAAGATCATCGTTGGCTCCTTAAATCCAACTTTCAATGCTGACGAGAATCGTTGGTGTAAGCTATATCCCATGCGATCTGTAGATGACAGTGTTTATTCCATTTGCGATCATATGTATGACTTTTTTGTAAACGACGCTGCATATTAGAAGCAATTGAGTAACATTGACAAAGTCTCGAGGATTACGCGTATTTTCTTTTCTTTACTTTAGTCAAGTGCTATTAATAGGGCAGTTTCTATAGTAACGTTACGTTCAAATTGGTTATTTTTATCCTCATATTTTACATGAACGGTGTACTCGTTTCTTTTGAAGATCATGTTCAAAAATAGTAACGCTTTGGGAATCCCATATGGCAACACCTACTCAACATGGCCTATTGCATTGCTAGCTATACCAATGTTAAGGATTGATACTTTGAAATAAACCATGTAATCAATCGTTTAGTCCGCGTTATATTTTCTAGATATATGTACAGTAATTCGTTCTCTGTTCATGTAGTGTCTGATTTGCACTATATAACTTTGATATCTGATTATCTGTACAATGATACAAATGGAAAGTTATATGTTGTAATAGAATTTTATTTATTTAAAAATAAACTATTGTTCATTGGCAGCCTTTCGCTTTTCAGCAAGGTCTTGTGCTCTTGATTTACTATTAGGGTCATAGAAAGGCTTCTCTGCTAAAGGAGTCAATCTCCAGCCATGACGACGACCGTCATCGAGATAGTCAAAGATGGCATTGTGGGAGGTCACTCGGTTATCCCAAACGGCCACACTGTTTTCTTCCCACTTGAAACGAACCTGGAAGTCAGCTCCTGAAGCAACATGGTCAAAGAGTAAACGAAGGATAGCATCTGATTCTCGCTTTGAGAGACCGACGATGGATCTTGTAAAACCGGGTTGAACGTATAGAGCTTTCCAGCCTGTGACAGGGTGAGTACGAATGATGGGATGAACAGCCGTCCAGTGACTACGACGAACAGTGTGACCAGCACGGTTTGCAAAATCAACTTGGTCCTGACCAGAGTGGACAGCTTGTAAACCTTCGAGAAGCTTTTGAAGAGCAGGGGATAGTCTGTCATAGGCAGTATAACCAGATGACCAAAGAGTGTCACCACCTACAGGTGGGAGCGTATCAATCTTGAGAAGAGTTAAACCAGGAGTTTGTGGTTCGTAAGAGACATCAGAATGCCAACCTATACATTATAGGTTTATATATGAAATGAATCAACACTGATTTTAACTTACCTTCCCAGGAGGATCTTGAGTCAATATCAAAGTCAATAAGTTTTCTGTATCTTGCTCTTGATTCGGAGTCAAAGTAGACTACATGAACCGCAGGAAGGCCTTCTGGGTGTCCAAAGGTGTTGTGGACGTGAAGAGGACCAAAGTACTTGGCGAAATCGTGAGCTTGATAGACGTCAATGTCTTGGTCTCTAAAGAAAACAACGCCACGTTCAGCAACTAACAGAGCCAAATCGTTCTTTTGTTGATCAGTGAACTGAGAGAGCTGAAGGCCGTGGATTTCGGTACCAATATGGGGAGTCAAGTCAAATACTTTGGTGGCTTGCTTGAGAATAGAGGCTTTTGTGGGGTCTGCACGATGACCGGGATCGTGATGTTCAAAGTTTTCGAGGGAAGGATACTATATATTGCATTAGAGAATGAAAAATTCCATTGTGACTATATTACCTTTGTCTCTGGGTAAACAAGGTAATGTCCCTTGGTGCGTGCAAGTTGTTGCAGGTTGAGCTTTTCGAATTCTTGGATAATAGCGTCAGTGTTTGGAGGAGCCATGGTTACGAATAAATAAATTTGTGAGTTATTCTTAAATGAGGACAAAGCTATTGAGCCCTATTTATACGATTTCTATTCATTTATTTTTTTCCCATTCTTTAGCTTATGTACGCTTTTGCATAATTTTAACAATCGTTTGCATAATCATAGTATTAAATTCTGCAAGATGATAAGATTATATGGTTACCAACTATGGCAATGCTATGTTACACGGCATGTTGTAATTTTCAGGGAATAATACGCACTCAGTCTAAAAGGTGGGTAAATTAATTGACGTGAACTTTATCAGACTATCACATCATCTATTGCATCTATTCGTCAAGTGGGGAATATTGAATAAGGGGAAAAACGAGTATGAATTGTGTGCTAGTCTGATAAATTTCACGTCAATTAATTTACCCACCCTTTTTATGTAGTGCACAATATCTATCAAAGCATATGAAGAAAAAGAAAGCTTAAAGTTGATGCTAATGATGACATGATCATTATACAGCTGCAACTGGTTGATTCTATCTAAATTTATTCGTCAGTTTCAAACTAAAATAACTGTCGGTTATTTTTATACAGACAATTTCCATTTTCGTTTTGGTAATCAACTTGGATGAATTCAATTATTCTGTTCTGTTTAAGTTAACTTTCCTTTTGATTAATAAATCTCTATATAATTCAGCCAACAATCATAGTAGTCGAATGTGTATAATTTGTTTGTAGGCTTCGGTAATTACGTGGTTTAATCATGTTGGCTTTGTCAAGCGAATGCCTTCTCATGAGTTGAAATTGTCTATATTTTGTAAAGTTTTATCTGACTGATTGTGATAATACAGCTAATTCAAGCTATAAAAGATCCCACTCTGATTGTTTTCCGTTATGTCACTTAATAAACATTTGTAAAAAATTCTATGGATTTCAGTATCAGAAGCCAACAGTTATGATCGCTTAAAGTTTTATTGTTTTCACGGTAAAATTAAGAGTGCGTTTATTTATTACATAATAAACATCAGTAGAAATTCAATAAGCACTACATCTGTTCGGATTACCCTCTCCCTAGCACAAATAAGTATAGGCAGTGTAATGTGCTATCTGATCAGAATGTTCATGGGCTTGAATATGATTTTCTACTCAAACTTATAAAGTGCAGACAAAGGAAAAGAAGGGCACTACTTGCGATATCACTACACAGCTTCATACTACCAAAGCCTCTCCAATGGAATATTCTTTAATGTAAAATGCGGGTCCATCATAATTACACTTGAATGATCTTGCTTCTTTGTTGATAGCGCTTGATTGAATGATATTAATATAAAGCAATAGCAACAATTCTTTTTCTCTCTTCTTCTTGCAAAGAAGCAAGATTTATAAATTCGCATTCCATATCAAGAAATATGGAGAGATATCTGTTCCTGAGTAAGTTTGGCGTGACAACACACGTTAAAATATTTTGTTGGCGACATCATAGATAGTATTTGTAGTATCCTCATGAACTATTCCCTATAATGAAATAAAACCTTGCTGATTTAGCATATATATTGAACAATTTGTCAATGATTGAAAGGCTGTACGAACAAGTTACTATTACATCGACTCTTATACTTTAAGGTTATAACTAGTATTTCCAAAAATTATTGGCACTGATGCCAAGAGTAAAATTCGCGCTTGCTAAATTCTACTGTCATGTAAACCATTGGCTGATTTCGCTTGCTGACAAATTGAATGTCGTATATGTAGGAACCTTGTCATACAAAATACGTGTATATGCAGCACGAAAGCACCGTCAGCTCTTTTTTTTTTCTTTTTTTATTTCCTTTCTCATTAAAAACCGAGTATAACAATATGAGCTTTCAAATTTTCTACGAAGACGGGCACGGTAATTCAGTTGATGAATACGGTAGACCTGAGCCTATGGACTACATCATTGATGAAAAGCGGTATGCTTTAGAAACAGCTAGTTCACACACTCAGTATTTGTATAATCAGCCTCAGGAGAATAATTTCGATGTAGGCTCTGTGGCAGATGAAGATGCAAAAGATGACCCAGATGTTTGCATGAAGGAGGCGTCGAGTAAGCGAGCGTACACACTCTATACGGATCAAGACAAAGTTAGATTCTTTAAACTGATGTTTGAGAAAGTTATGAGTGCTTCAGCTGCTGCAAAACAGTTAGGTATTCATGTTCGCACAGCTCAAAGATGGGCTCAAATGTACAAAACGGATCCTGATAGTGTTTTTATAAAGCATAAGAAAACCGGTCGCTCGCGTATACTTCAAGAAGAACACAAGCAAGTGGGCTTGGAGTATATAGATGAGAATCCTTCAGCTGTCTTGGAGCAAGTGATGGAGCGGCTACTTCAAAATTTTCAGGATCTCAAGGTCTCTAAAAGCACTGGCTACAATTTTGTAAGAACTGAATGTAATTTGTCACTCAAAAAAGCCCAATTCCAGCCTGTAGATAGGAACAGTGAAGAAAAAATTCAGGAGCGTTTTGACTAGGTTCATAAGTGGGAGTGTACGGACATGGACTTTAGAACTAATTGCGTCTTTCTCGATGAGTCTGCATTTCACATTAATTTAAAACGTAGTATGACCTGGCCAAAAAAGGATTGCCTGCTGTGGTCACAGTGCCCAAAACCCGAGCACAAACAACAACGATTTTAGGTGCGATCTCTGCTTCAGGATTAATAAAGTGTAGCCTGAGATTAC